GTGGCCTATGAGTTCAGATTCTTCTGGACACTTGAACTGTGGAAGTGGAGGTGAGCAATGATCGGCAGAGACAGAAGAGATGGTTCTTTCAAGGTGGGTTATGGTGTCTGATTTCCAGGCTGTGTAAGGTTCCTTGACTCTGCTGAGCATTCTTCAGACTTAGAAAGAGCTCTTTATTAAATCCCGCAGCGCTTAAAGCATATGGAATGGACTTTATCATCTGTTTGTCTGTCAATTAATAATGTGTATAAAATGCAACACGGCAGGTAAAAGTTACACCAGCACTTCTCAATCCCAAGTTTTGTCAGTGAAGAAAACCTCAGAAAGATCTACTGACACTGGCTGTTTAGAAACCCATATTGCTACACGACCCTACTCAGCGCACTGGCACTGCCTCTGCAGACACGGGGAGGGCTCCACGAGGGACTAGAGAGACACCACTTTTTCTGAATGATTTCTTTTATAAACCTTTAATCAAAACCAAAAAATAACATGCTTAATTACTTGGCAATTACACAGGTGCTACAGTTTCTCTGTATTTTTAGGCAGGAAGATTTAATGGCATAAGATTAAAGAAAATTTGGAAAAACATTTGGGGTGAGACAATTCAGAAACAAAAACAGGAAACTAGCATAGCAAAAGATTTAAAACAGGTGTGAGCAAACTACAGCCTACAGGCCAAATGTGACCAACTGCTTGTTTTTATAAATAAAGTTTTATTGGAGCAAGCTGTATCCATTTGCTTTCAGGTCAGGGTCAGAAATGCACGGTTGACGTTCTGGACAAGATGATTTTGTTGTGGGGGGCTGTACTGTTCATTGTAGGTGACTGGGTGGGATCTCTGCTCTCTTCCCACTAGGTACCAGCAGCCGCTCCAGTTTCAATGACCCAACAAAGATGTCTCCGCACGTCGCCAATGTCTATGGGGCGGTTGGCAGTGGAAGCAAAGGTGCCCTTTGTTGAGGGCCATACTACAAACGCAGTGTAGAGTCTGGGCCACAAGCCTGAGAAATTTGTATCTGGACCTCCACAGAAAATATTGTTGACTACTTTCACTACAAACAAAGGGAAAGGATGCACAGTAGCCTAAGAAGACTGTATAGCTAAATTTCTAGAAATCACTTCAAAAAATGACTCCAATTAAAAAAAAAGGAAATGGCTAAAAACAAGCAATTCATAGAAACAAAACTCAAATGTCCCTGAGGCAAGGCAGATGCTCAACCTCTTTGGTAGTCAAGAAATGCAAACTGAAGGCACATTTTCACTTTTGGCTGAAATTGAGAAATGAACAGACATTCCCATTGAGATTAATGGCAAATTTCAGACAATATGAAGGCACTGACTGCTACTTTTTTTTTTTTGCCGTACTGGAGTTTGAACCCAGGACCTCACACTTGCTAGGCAGTTGCTCTAACACTTGAGCAACTCTGCCAGTCCTGTTTATGTTTTTTTTTTTTTTTCAAGATAGGGTCTCATGAACTGTTTGCCCATGCTGCTTTGAACCATGATCCTCCTGATCTCTGCCTCCTGAGCAGCTGGGATTACAGGCATGAGTCACTGGTATTTGGCTATCTTTTAAATATACTGTGTTTGAGGCAAGGAATTCAACTGGCAGGAATCTACCTGCTCTATAGAAATAAAAGCACCAACATTATACACACATAGTAAAACTGTTACCTAACTTTTGGTAAAATAACCTGAACTTTTATTAATAGAATAGGTTGCACATATTGTGGTTTGTGTGTACTACTTAAAAATCTAAAACTAGGTAATTTGTAGCACTGACTGGATGGATATCCATGGTATGTTGCTGTGTCTGAACAGGAGGTGACGTCAATGTGCACACACTCCCATTCAAACCACCCTCCCACCTTAATCGGCTCACTAACAAATCCAGGTGTGGGTATGTTTCCTGAGAATGGAGACAGGAATGCAAGCATAGCATTGGCTTTGGATAGCAGCACATAGGCAATCAGTGTGCCTGCAGCTTTGCTAAAAACAAAAAAACCCAAAAAACCCCAAAGCCAAAAAATCTATAGAATATTTATTCCTGGCTTCTGGTGAAACATGGTATAAAGACTTGGAGAACTTTATTTTTTATGTGCGTGTGGTACTGGTGTTTGAACTCAGGACCTTGTGCTTGCTAGGTAGGTGCTCTACCTAGCCCATGTGAACTACATCTCCAGCCCCCAGAAAAGAACTCTGAAGTCTTTTGTTGGGAGGAAGTACTGCAGTTTAAACAGAGCGCCACAAAAATGCTCTACCATTTGAGCCACACCTCCGGCCTCAAGTCTTAAAGAGAAATATGCATATATTAGCAGAAAATAAGAGAAATCAACACTTTTTTTTTACACATCAAAGTGTTAGAAATTATAACGAAATTAACACTCTAATAACAGCAATTTTTGCCTGGTTTCATTAATTCTTCTAAAGGGTACAAATTCTTCTGTTAAGAATAGTTAAAACTTTTGTGAACAGACTTTGAAATTAATATATCAGTGCAGATAAAATGTAGTAATCAGTTTTCCCTCTACCACTTGAGCCACTCCATCAGCCCAATTTTTCCTTTTTAAAATGCTTGAGTTTTTGTTATACATTGTCCCCTAATGGACTGACAAATATTTAGTACGGACTGATTTTATTTAGCACATAGTACATGTTTACATTCAACTTATTTAGAATGTGTATTTTATTTTTTATAATTTGGGGCAGAAGTGGAACCCCAGGGGTGGTCATGATGCTAAATGTGAAAGTCTACAGACCAGGAAGGAGGTAGGCCCAAGTGGAAAATGCCAAGACTTCATAGCACTTGGCCGTACACAGTACGAGTTCTCAGTTACTTTTAGCGATAACAGTTTAGTGTCTAGGATACTATGTGTGAACAAAGTATTTTTACATTACATTCTCTGGCAATTAGATCAGGTCATGAATATTCTAGATAAGCTACCATGTCCTTTTAATAGCATGAGACATTTGACTTGTTATCTTAATTGAATACTCACACACCATAAGCACAATCGATTTTCTTTATAACTGATTTGATTCTGGATGCTATCTTTTTCCAAATTTGGTAAAAAGATGTGATTTCTCTATATCTTGAAGAGTTAAAGTATTTTGACCTGTCAGATAATTTGGTACTGGGGAATTGCATAGTACAGTTTTTAAATCAATTTCTTCTTGGTTTTTAACTTTGTTCAGGAAAATAATACTTTTCCAGGATTTCACACATATAATAAAAAGCAGGATATAAATACGCTGAATGTAAACAAGCATTTCCTATATCTTACTAAATCAAAGTTGAATATATATATATATATATATATATATCAATAATATGCTTAAGAAAATACTTAAGAAAATAATGCTTTTCTATGTCAGATACACTATAAAAAGCTGAATATAAACATTTTCTTATTTCACTAAAGAATAAATGTGTGTATGTATCTATATGAAAATATTTTAAAACGGTTATCTTTCAGCATTCAGACATTCTGTAAAAAGTTGAGTATGGACTTACAACACACGCAGTTTCTTACTTCACTCAAGTCCAAGCAAAGGATGGTTCTGAATTATTTCATGAGATCTACAATGTCAGGGAGAATTGTGCCAAGATCAGCTTTGTGGCCCTCTGATTGCAAAATGTCCACAAAGCAGGTATCACACAGCCACACAAACAGGCACCCTGTAGTTAAGATCATTTCCTGTGTTTTGCTAGGAAAGAAAGTTTAACTGAGGCCCATTTGCAGACTTTTGCTGAGACCTTCTAGGGCCATGAGTATTACACATATGACCAGATGCAAAACAGGTGAGAACAAGCACCTGGCATTTCACTTTGATGAGTAGCAGGCAATCCTGCAAAGGTAGAAAGGTATCAAAAGCGGACAAACCAACAGTATGTGCTAATTGAATATAGCCATGATCTTGTGAAATCTCCAACTGTCTCAGGCACGGTGCTTGAGTTTTTCTTTAGAGGATGAATTTCAGAAAAATGTTTGAAAGTTTCAGTTTTACCCTGCATCTATTTTTTTAAGAGCTTTCCACATGCTGGAGTTCAGTATTCATTCGTTCATTCTCATTTGTATGAGCAAATATTTACAGTGAGTTAATGAGGAAGAGGTAGTGCACCAGGTGTAGTGCAGTCAGAAAGTCAGAGTGAACCCTGGCCCTATAAACGTCCCTGTTTTCTTCAAACTTTTTTTTTTTCCCCAGTACTGTGGTTGAACTCAGGACCATGCACTTGCTAGGCAGGCACTCTACCACTTGAGCCATGCCCCCAGCCCTCTACAAGTATCTCAATGTGAATTTTCCTCAGAGTATAACTTTATCCACAAATTTCAACATACAGTGTTTGTTCTCTGTCACTTACTCTTAATGATAGCTGACTTTAAATTTCCTTTTTAAATAAAAATCATTTACACATGTATCTTTCAAATTTCCTCCAAGTGACTTGCACTTTTGCTAAGGCTTTTTTCTCATTCTCTACAGCAGAGATCAGAGATCATGGTATGGCTTTTGGAAGGGTTTTTTTCTTTCTTTTTTTTTTTTTTGACAGTGCAGGCTGACCTTGAACTTGTGATCCTCCTGCCTCTGCCTCCCAAGTGCTGGGATTAAAGGGGTGCAACACCACACACAGGTTGGAAGATTTTCATAAATCACCTCAATCTTCCTTTGACCTTAGAGCAATCTACCTATCTCCTACTGTGGTTTTTAATATGAAGATTCCCCAGAGGAGGAAAAAGGGCAAATTATGAATGAAAGCTTTAAATTTTTCTTCAAAAGGAATAAAAATCAAAAACAAGATGATTCAAGATGCCCCTGTAGTCACTGGCCATATAAGGCTTTCTTCTCATATGATCTTTACAAAATACACAACTATGAAAAGAACAAAGAAAGGTAACAGAAGTATTTTTCATCTGGCACACCTTCAATACTAGCTGGACACTGTTCTAAAGGCTGTAAGTATATTTAATTCTTACAATGCATCCAAGAAATATGGTGCTAGTATTACTAATCTACAAATGAGAAAAATTTAGATGTAGCTAAGTAATTTGCCCTGTAAGAAATTACAACAGTGAGGGCAAGTTAAGAATAAGTATTGGCTCAATCCTTTCCCACACCAATTCAGCTCAAGTTAACTTTATAGAATTGGCTCATAAATATTTAACAAAATTTGAGTGGGATGGAAGAATATGCATTTTAGAACTAATGGAGCCTTTCTAGCTATGAATTAGCAGATGAATAACTTACCTATCTAAAGCAAATTAGTGATCCTCATATATGGCATTTATAGTTTTAATCCTTTGATTTCCCCTAAGGGCTAATTACCCCAATGGTGAGAAATGTCCCAATAGTTTCTCTGTCCTCATAAATTTTTCCCTGAGGTTGACTTGTTCTGAACCACCAAAAAGGCATTCCCATTTTCCTTATATTCACAAATTTTTTTTCACTGATTGAATTCTGATGTTTAATAAATTTTGAAACAAATAAGACCCCCCCCTTCAATTTCCAACATTTATAAGGTTTCTCATCCGTAACAAGTGTCAGATAATTTCTGGTCCTTTAAACATGGGGCTTTCACACCATTCTTCCATGGTATGAATTCTGTTGAAAACCACAACTATGGGAAAAAACTTCCCTATAATTCTTTTGTTTTTAAAAACAGCATGAATTTTCTGATGTCAATCAAATTCTGGGCTTTCCCATATTTTTTCAGTCACTCCTCTGTCCTGTATGAATTCTTTGATGCTGACTAAGGTGTGAACCACGAATAAAGGCCTTCCCACACTGCTTACACTCGTAGGGCTTCTCACCAGTATGAATTTTCTGATGTCGGCTCAGTTCTGAGCCACGACCAAAAGCCTTTCCACATTCCTTACACTCATAGGGTTTTTCACCACTATGACTTCTTTCATGATGAGTAAGTTCTGATCTTCGAATAAAAGCCTTCCCACATTCCTTACATTTGTGGGGTCTCTCACCAGTGTGAACTTTCTGATGTCTAACGAGTTCTGTGCTACAAGTAAAGGCCTTTCCACATTCTTTACATTTATACGGTTTTTCACCAGCGTGAGCTCTTTGATGTCGAGTGAGTTCTGAGCCACGACGAAAGCCCTTCCCACATTCCTTACATTTATAGGGTTTCTCACCAGTATGAACACTCTGATGTCGAAGAAGATGTGAATCAGAGATAAAACCTTTTCCACATTCCTTACATTTATGGGGTTTCTCACCAGTATGAATCCTCTGATGTAGAGTCAGTTGTGAGGCACAACTATAAACCTTCCCACATTCCTTACATTCATAGCGTCTTTCACCAGTATGAATAATCTGATGAAGACTAAGCTGTGTGTCATAACGAAAAGCTTTCCCACATTCCTTACACTTATGGGGTTTCTCACCAGTATGGATTCTCTGATGTCGGAGAAGGTGTGAGGGTCGGGTAAAGGCTTTCCCACATTCCTTACATTCAAAGTACTTCTCATCAGTATGAATTCTCTGATGAAGATTAAGTTGTGCATTAGATGGAAAAGCCTTCCCACACTCCTTACATTTATAGGGTTTCTCACCTATATGCATCTTTTGATGGTGACTAAGTTGTGAGCTAGAATGAAAGGCTTTCCCACACTCTTTACACTTATGAGGTTTCTCACCACTATGAGTACTCTGAAATTTAGTAATGTCAGAGGCACCTTTCTTATTATCATTGCTTTTTTTGCTTCCATGAAGTCTCTGATGTTTAATCAGGTCTGACCTACTGTTAAAGACTTTCCCACATTCTTCACATTCAGAGTCTTTTTCCTTATCATGAGTTTTCTCATGTTGACTAGGACGTGTTTGGCACCTGAAATCTTTCTTACACTTCATGCATTCACAGGATTTCTCTCCAGTATGAATTCTCTGAGATTCTTTCTGGGCTGGACGCTGGATGGATGCATGCCTTTCTTCAGCAGTCTTAATAGCCTGTCTGAGACGTCCCTTCTGATGTCCCTGTTGTCTCTCCAGATGACATGTGGTTTCCTTGTTATCTCTGATCCTGGTGCCCTCACTATTGGAACATGCATATTTTTTCATTATCTCCTTTTGCAATGATTTAATTTTATAACTGTCATTTGGAGATAAATTCTTGTTTTTTCTTTTGGACTCCCATTCTGTAAGATAAGCAGAAAAAAAGCAGGTGTTATCACATTTCAGGAGAAAGTAAAGTTCTAAGTTAGAAATGACAACTAAAGGTAATGAAAATGTAAACAACTCAGAACTAAATTTCAGTTTGGAAAGAAAAGAAAAGAGAGTGAGAATAGAGAAGATGAGCTCCTAAAGAAAGGTGGAGGCACAGCTGCTTCCCCTCTGGTGAGAATCAGAATCAGATGGGAAATTTCAAAATATGACATCCTGGAACCACTTCAGACTAAATGAAAACCTAACTGAATAGGACATTATATCCAACAGCAAATCTTCTCATCTCTAACCTCGAAATGTATCCAGATTTGGACTTCTCTCTACCTGTATCTCTACTATCTTGTTCAAAGCCAACTCTTACCAAGATAACACAACACTATCCTAACTATTAGCTCTGCTTCCACTGTTGCCCTACTAACATCCCATACTCAACGCAATAGCCAGAGTGATCATGTTAACACCAGTTGAAGCATGTCATTTTTCTGCTCAAAATTCTCCTCCTCATTCAGGGTAACTCCAAGTCCTTACATGGTGGACAAAGTCTTCCACAAACCTGCCCTGCATTACCTGCTTCTGACTGTGCTGCCTATCCTTTCCCTTAGATGACTTTGCTCCAGCCCCTGACGAACTGTGTAGTCTTCAAACTCACCAAGCACAGCCCTCCTTTGGAATCTGCTGGAAAGTATCTAAGGTATCAGTATGGCTCATTCAATTACTTCATTCTGATCTCCATTCACAGTCAATTAATGAGATCCCCCTTTACAGAACTCTTAACAGAATGAGGTACTGGTACATGCTATAATATGGATGAACCTTAAAAACATTCTAGAAAGTAGAAGAAGCCAGTCATGAACTGAGTACTATGTGATATCATTAATGTGAAATGCCCCAAGCAGGTATATCCACATAGGCAGGAAGTAGATCAGTGGTTGCTTTGGGCTGGCTGTGGGGAGTGACTGCTAATGGATATGGGCTTTCATTTTGCAGTGATGAATATTCTAGAGTTTGATGGCTGCTTACAACTCCATAAACATACTAAAAACTATTCTACTGCATACTTTAAATAAATGAACTTTATGATGTGAATTATATTTCAATGAAGCTATTTAAAAAAAGTCAAGAGAAAACTGTACCCACAGTACAGGTCACAGGAGCAGGAACTAAGATGGTAGTAAGAGGAGTAATAATTTTGAGCCCTGTGCTGAAACACCCTTACTTTCTTCTCTAGACTTAGGCCTCTTTCTGGTAGGGTGCTTTCCTATCAGTATCTGGGAGGTATTGCCTTCTCACATGATCAGTATGATTCATCACTCACCTGGACACCACTCTGTTGACTCCTTCCTCCTAACCATCCAGGGTTCTTTCCCCTGCTCCAATAAGGAGATCACACTTGGCTTAGTATCAGAAAGTCCTGCTCAAAGGAAAAAAAGAGAAAAGGTTATGCTGTGCATATCAGAATTAAAATCAATCCATAATTATCAAGCAAGATAATCTAAATTCACAAGAGACAATCCATTCTTTGGCAAGCAAGAATCATTATTTCAGTCAAGTACCTGAAAAGCATTCGTAAAAAACTCACAATAAGGAGCATAAAAATTCCAGAGGGCCAATTCTGAATTTTGAGGAGTACATACACTTACCCAGTGAGATCAGATGGCTGTAATTCTCCAACATTACATCTCGGTACAAATCCTTCTGAGCAGAGTACAAGTATCCCCACTCCTTTAGAGAGAAGTAAATGACCACATCTTTGAACTTGAAGCCCTGAAACCACAAACAAATATACTATGTGAAATTAATGGACAAATCTTTAAGGTAGGATAAAAGAAAGTAGAGAAGGCAATTCGGTAGGAGCTCCATTGGGAGCCCAGGGTCTGCTGGACCTTCCAAATGGGACAGTCAGTGTGGAGCAGGGTGCTCAGAGACAAGTGCCCACAAGTGCATCTTCAGATATAATTTCTTGCCACATCCCATTTTCCATCCAGGTCTGAGAATAAACAAAGTCCAGGTAAACAGTGTTTCTCAATTAAATGAAACTATCTACACAAGTACACAGTACATACTTCTCACTGGTCATCTCATTTTGCCATTCAGGAATGTTTTAAAAATCTGAGTTAGTCCAAAGTATCTTATAAAACCTAGTTCAGGACCAGATGTGGTGGCTCATGCCTATAATTCCAGCTACTTCAAAGGTCGAGATTGTGAGGATCATAGTTTAAGGCCAGCCTGGACAAAAACTTAGTAAGACACCATTTCAAATCAATAAGCCAGTGTGGTGGCACATAACCACGGTCCCACTATGTAGGTAGGAGCATCTTGGTTTGAGATTGGCCCTGGGCAAAAAGGTGAGACTCTATCTAGGGGAATAAGTAAAAGAAAGAGCTGGAGGTGTGGCTCAAGAGGTAGAGTGCCTGCCTAGCAAGCACAAAGTCCTCAATTCACACCCCAGTACCACCAAAAAACAAAACCCTATCTCTGAAAATGAATGGAATTTATGTAATTTCATAGCTTTTTAAAAAACAGGCTCAACAAAACAAAACAAAGCCAACAAAACCTCAGGCCCCAATCACATGACTATTGAAGCCCTTTTCCATGTCATCACAACTTCTTAAATGGACACCATTTTTACTGGCAACATGACACCCCATCTTATGAGCTCAATATTGTTATTTCTGTGCACTAGGTTGGACAATTTCTTAAAAGTCCTTTTGCAGTTATGAGACAATTCTCAACAATTTAGCTAAATTTTCCCCAACTATAATTCTCCTTATTTCTGAGCTACCAAAATGAATGGGGAAAGATCCAGACTCAAAATAATATGACACAAGGTAAGTACATACCACACAAGTTTAAAATGGACCCACTGGTTGGTATCCATCTGGTACAGACTTTGGGAATATTCTACAACTCCATATACTCAATCATTCTATCATCCCCAATCCTAATCAAATTTCAGCTCTAAGAATTTAGGGAGGCATAAAGTTTCTAGCAGGGGTGGGTTGTCCCATTCCATCAGAACTCTTGGTGGAGGTGCATGCCCTTAAGAGAACCTCAGGATGTGTGTCAGTGGCTCACACTTGTAATCTTAGCTACTCAGGAGGCAGAGGTCAGGAAGATTGAGGTTGAAAGCCAGCTGGGGAAAACAGTTCGCAAGGCCCTAACTTGAAAATATTCAACATCAAACAGGGCTTGTGGAGTGGCTCAATTGGAAGAGCACCTGCCTAGCAAGTGAGAAGTCGTGAGTTCAAACACCAATAGCAGAAAAAAAAAAGAAAAGCTCAAGTGTTTGTTGGTGGGTACCTAAACACCTGCTGGAGTACAAAGAGACACTTAAAAGACAGCAGACATTAGTAGCATTACTGACTGAAGAAACCTCCTCACTGCCAGGAACTGTTCTGGGCTCAGAAGAGCCTGCTCTGACCACCCCCCTCCGGCCCCCCTGCTTTTATTTTTAATATAACTTGGAAGATACTGAGCCCCTCAGGCTCCTGAGCACAGGACACCAGGGAAGTCCCAGTTCTGGAAAAAAGTTTCTGCACCAAAGCGCGTCAGCCTTCCCTGGGCTATATGCACTAGTCATTTCCCTAGCTTTGCTCCTATATCCCACAACTGGGTCTTCAGAGCTGAAACTGGTTCCTGAGCCGGTAACCCATGAGATCAGGAAGGGCATGTGCAGCCTCAGTAGAGCTCGACCACCTGGATTCACGTTGCAGTGGCTTTAGATGAAACCACAGTTCTCAGAATCCTTGTGGCCAGCGCCTTCTGACTTTCCTGCCTGACAATCTCTCCTGCTGCTACACTAGTAAGGCTCTAGCCTTAGTGTTGAGGGTGCCGTGTTTACTGAATCTGCACTACAATTACAGATATTTAAGCACTTTAAATTCCTGGTGCCTCATGCTTTAGAGAAACCCACAATCCTAATCCAGAGGAAGTGAGCTTGCAGAAGTCAGTCATTCACTCAAAATTGCAGTCAGCAGTGGCACTGCTTGGTTGAAACACAGTGGCTGCCTTCTACTTCTGGCTCCTTCACCTGGACCCTGAATTTCTGGGTCTACTGTTTGTCACTCCAGAGCAGCAGTCTCTGAGGGGAACTCAAAGGCAGAAGGGAAAGGAAGAGATGCAGCTGAGCCAGCAAACTTCTTTTACATGAAAATATCAAACTTTCCCATGAGGCTGACTCTGTGAGGGCCCTGGAGACACAGACGACTCTGACTTAGCACCCACCCTTAAAAAAAGCTATTTAGGTGATTTATATCCTCTTGGTTCAATTTTGGATGGTCATATGTGTCTAAAAATTTTTCCATTTCTTCTAGAGTTTCCAATTTATTTGAATATAGGCTTTCAAAATAATCCCCAATGATTCCCTGGATTTCCTTGGTGTTTGTTGTGATCTCCCCTTTTTCATTTCTAATTTTACTTATTTGGGTCTTTTCCCTCCTCATTATCTGAAATTATTGGGACCACGGATGTTTCAGATCTCCATATTTTGAAATATTTACACATACTTTAACCAACTGTGCTCAAAAGAGGTCTGGATTTTAGCGTATTTAGGATTTTGGATTAGGGAAGCTTAACCTGTATCTAATACATCTTCTACTACTCACTAGTTAATAAAAGCATTTTTATTTCTTGGCGGTACTAGGCAGGCACTCTACCACTTGAGCCATACCTCCAGCCCTTTTGCTCTGGTTATTTTGGAGATAGGGTCTTGGTTTTTGC